ATTTTGTTTTTTTTTTTGCTTTTTTATTATATTTTTAAAATGTAAAATTGTAAATGTGTAATTGTTAAAGGAAATGATGAAATAAAAAAATCTAAAAATGAAATTGATAAAGGAAAGAATGAAATAAAAAAATAAAAATAAAAAAAAACGGTAACGGTACCGGAACCGGAACCGGAACCGCCGGTGCCGGTACTGAAAAATGGGCACCGGAACCGGTACCGCCCGGTACCGGTTCCCGGAACCGGTGGACCGTACCGGCCGACGGTAACGGTACCGGAACCGGCGGTACCGTTTCCGGTACCGGTACCGTGTCCACCCCTACCGCCACGTGATGCACAGTCTGAGCCAGAAGTTGAGTGATGCGGAGGTGGAGGAGATGATGAAGGAGGCGGATGTGGACGACAATGGGGTGATTGATTACCATGAGTTTGTGAATGTTATCATGTCCAGGTTAGGCCATTACTCCCTCACTATTTCAGACAACGCCAATGCTAAAACCACAAATGTAATATTCAAAAATCAGAGACTAAATATGAAAAAATTATCTATAAAATGGAGTAAAATTAATTTACTCTAGCAGTACAATCACAATGCATGTAGCTAAGAAAATATTGAGTTGTGATGGTCTAGTGACAACTGCTCTAATGTTACAGAGGTCGACTGAGAAGTTCGGAAAGCAGAGGCCGCAGCGAGAGAGAGATGCGCAAAGGCAAGAGACAGTGCAAATCAAAAAAATATTGTCTCCCTGAGTACTGTAAAACTTTGTAATTTACATATGTCCTGAAGGGAAAATAACACTCTGGCACTTGGATTATACTCCCTTTGTCCCTAAATAAACTTTTCTTTTCCCTTAAAAAACCCCCTTTACCCCTTACTTTTTCATACCCTACCTATCACATCATACCTTTTTACTAATAATCTACCTATCACATCTTACTTTAATACATCACATCAAGTGTATTTTTGGAAAGTAAATACCAAAATATCTCTTCCTTAAATCCTCTAAAAGTCAAAAATGGAACTTTATTTAGGGACGAAGGGTGTAAGAAGAATGCCATAGCAATTCGCAGAATGCGGTATAATATTTCAAAACTTCAATGTCTATTCATGATTGTACTATTTCAATTTTTTTTCCTAAGGATTATATCTTAGACGTCTTAGAGAGACAATTCAGTTGCACTAGAAATACACATATTACTGGTGTTATATTCAAGTGAAATTTGCACTGAATAGGACTAAAACATAAGTCATTTCTAAATGTAGGACTTAAACTTGAAGAGTAATCAATGCATACAGTTTTTAAAACCTATTTGTTGAAGTGTGAGAGCAAAGGGGTGTTTCCAAAGAAAATGAGAAAAGCCCATCCACTTGAGAAAATATAATGAATTGCATTTGTGCTGCTTTCAAAGGGTTACTCAAGTCCACATTACATCAGCCATATGAAGCAATCAACCAATCATATGAACCAAAGGAGATCGAGGAAGAATAATGTCCGATCCTCACATATGAACCAAAAGACAGTACAATTTGGGAAGTCACGCACGGCCCACGGAGGAGAAGGAAACCGAATTCTTCTAGGATTCGGTTTCATTCGGTTGTTTCTTGTTATGGAAGTCTTTAAATTTAGTAGGAATAGAATTATAGAAGTTACTTCTTTTATGGCTTACCTTCTCTTATATAAGGAGAGACTCTCTTAGTATCAAACAAAACTACATAATATACAAAGTTATTTCCCTGTAATATTTTCTAACATGGTATCGGAGGATTCAGAGCGGCATATGGATTTGTATTGGCGACAGAAGAAGGAAGCCGGATCAAAGAAGGAAACTGAATCCCTTTGGGATTCGGTTTAGTATCTTTTCTAGTTTGCTTAGTTCTTGTTATAGTAGAAATGAAAATATGGTAGGAATAAAAATTTACTTATATGCTTTACTCTCTTCTTATATAAAGAGGGTTAGACCTTTGTATTCACAAGCCAATTCAATATACAAAATATTTTTCCTCTTATTAATTTCTACATGGTATCGGAGCAAGTTTTGAATTCTTGAGACCTCGAACACGCTTCTTCTCCTGCCGGTGGGCATACACAATTCAATGCCTACCGGCGGCCGGCGGGATATTGTAATTTTTTATTTTCTTTCATTGTTCTCCCTCACTAAAGAATATCATGAACTCCTTCAATGAAAAACATTGCTGTCGAGGAATCCTGCCCAACCATCAATCTTGAAGAAGTTGTCCGAGAAGGGTTGTTCTACAGAGGCAGACAACTCTTTCCTTAGCATGCAATAAAAAAAGTCGGCGTTCAGGGTGTTCGAAAAGAATGGCGTTCCCCCTGTTTGTTCGAATACGGTGAAGGTTCGAAAAGAATGGCGTTCCTTTACTGGACTGATTATTCGGCGGATTCGAAAAGCTTGGCATCTCCGTTGAAGAAAAAAATTGAAGTGTCTAGATGACACTTGGACAACGATGGCAAAGGCTTCCTCAAGCTCTGTTGCTTTGTTCAATCTTTTGATGTCCAAGCTGGGCATGTTGAACTCTCATGCTCCAGCTTGAGAGGGGGTATTGGCGACAGAAGAAGAAAGCCGGATCAAAGAAGGAAACTGAATCCCTTTGGGATTCGGTTTAGTATCTTTTCTAGTTTGCTTAGTTCTTGTTATAGTAGGAATGAAAATATGGTAGGAATAAAAGTTTACTTATATGCTTACATCTCTTCTTATATAAAGAAGGTTAGACCTTTGTATTCACAAGCCAATTCAATATACAAAATATTTTTCCTCTTATCAATTTCTACAATTTGTCTAGTACAATGATTTTTTAATGTCAAAGTGAACAAATCTAATAATCAATTATATCAAATTTGCATTGCATATTCAAACAATTTCACTTTCTATTAAAAATTTGCTTTTACCCTTAGCTTACTAAGTGTTACTCTAACTATCACATATTTGTATTCTCTATAAATCTACAAATCACATTTTACTTTACTCATGACATCGAAGTGCAAAATTGGGAAGTCAACTATAAAATACACTCCACTTAACTATCTTTGAAACAAATCCCTATTTAATACTCCCTCCGTCCCGCTATATTCGTCCACTTTTGACTTTTGGAACTGTTCATCTAAGCACTTTGACTCATCAAATTCTCTCAATGTGTAAGTCTAAATATAGTCATGCGTGATCTTGTTTGATTTGTCTTAACATATACTCCGTAGATTATTAATATATAATTTCTATAATTTTTTAATATACAAATTACAAGATAAAATGGATTAAAGAAGTGTATTGGATGGTGTGCAAAAATGAAAGTGGACAAATATAGTGGGACGGAGGAAGTAATATCATTTTTATATGGGAGAACTTTCTAGATAGGAGTAAAAACCTATAAAATACGGAGTACCAAAATACGAGTCATATATTTTTTTATGACCAAAATAGGAGTTCACACTCCCACATTCACCATATTCTCACATTGTAACTGCCACAATATCATCGTCACACTTCATCATGTTGCCGCCGGCCACTAGAGTGTCGTCGCAGATCACCGATGGTTGACTGATCACACTTATATACTCCCTCCGTCCCTAAATAAACTTCCCTTTTGGACTTTTTGAGGATTTAAGGGAAGGATATTTTTGTGTTGACTTTCCAAAAATACCCTTGATGTGATGTGTAAAATTAAGATGTGATATGTAGATTATTAGTAAAAAGGTATGATATGATAGGTAGGGTATGAAAAAGTAAGGGGTAAAAGGGGTTTTTATGGGAAAAGAAAAGTTTATTTGGGGACAAAGAAAAAACGAAAGGGAAAGTTTATTTAGGGACGGAGGGAGTATTACATTATCATCACTTTTTCTAACACACTACCAATGCGTACTTTTACGACACACTGCCATTTTACTTCTATTTTGAAAGAGATTTATTTTCGTAGTTTGACCTTTTAATTATATCATTACCTTCAAGAAAGAAGAGAGATAAATCATTGAAATGACTTATTATATCAATGCAAATTGAAAGGAGTATACTGCAACGACTTAATTTAGATATGTAGTCATTTTTTACAAAAATAAAAGTGTTTTAGGAAAAACGAAAAAATGAAAGAGGAACTGCTTTATAAAACGGAGAAGTATTATATAAAACCATTTTTGGAATTTACTACTCCATCCGTTTCTTAAAACCCTTCCTCTTTCATTTTTTTTGTTTTTCTTAAAACACTTCCCCTTTCTATTAAAAAACCACTTTTACCCCTACTTTTTCATACCCTACCTATCACATCATACTTTTTCACTAACAACTAAACTATCACATCTTACTTTTACCCATCACATCAAGGGCAAAATTGGAAAGTCAACTACAATTTAACACTTCCTTATTTTCCCTCAAAGTNATTTACTACTCCATCCGTTTCTTAAAACCCTTCCTCTTTCATTTTTTTTGTTTTTCTTAAAACACTTCCCCTTTCTATTAAAAAACCACTTTTACCCCTACTTTTTCATACCCTACCTATCACATCATACTTTTTCACTAACAACTAAACTATCACATCTTACTTTTACCCATCACATCAAGGGCAAAATTGGAAAGTCAACTACAATTTAACACTTCCTTATTTTCCCTCAAAGTCAAAAGAGGAACTATTTTGAGAAACGGAGGTAGTATATTAATAATTATCTATAAAAATTGCTTTTGTACTGCTTTACAAATTGCTTTTTATCTAAATAACATAAAAAGCAATATGTATTAGTGCTATTTAACTAAATTCCTCAAGTAAAAATTCCACCGTTCAAAAGTACATCAAAAATTCTACAAAATAAAATGCAAGAAAAATATTTTATTTTATGAAATGACTCAACAAACAAAAGTTATCAAAAGAGTATAATATGTTAAAATGAAATTAGTTTGTTTCTATTTACTTTAATAATAATGTAAAATTAAAAACAAATTATATATTTCAAAAAGTACATTATAAATAGAAATATTTGCACCAAATAGCACTAAAACTTAAGTCATTTCTCTAAATAACACTTAGATTGTTTTCTTCTCTAAATAGCACTCAATAATGTCCAAAATGATCAGTGATGACAAACATTTACTTGAATATTGACTAATGGATAATGACTAAAAGTGTTATATTAGAAAAAAACATATGTAATGCTATTTAAGGAAAATCATTATGTTTTAGTGCTATTTACGTAAATTCCTCTTATAAATACTCCCTCCGTCCTATAATGATCTTCTCATATCACTATTCCAACTTCACGGAAATTTATATTTATTTGTGTTTTTTCATAGCCTATATGATAAAATAAAATATTCTTGTCACCACTTGTTTTATTGAACTTTTGATGTAGTTTTTAAATGTGTATGTTTTATTTTTTATTTCTATACCAATATTTAAATAAAATAGATTGAAAAAACTTGGGATTTTTCTTCGTTTTGGGAACGGAGAAATGAGTGAGGGACTATAAAGGTACTAAAGAAATGCCCAACCAAAATAAAACCACAACGTACTGAAGAACACGGCAACCGAATAGATTAATAAACCTCAGAACAATAAACCCCTGAACTGCAGTAACTTAAACAAAAACCCAAAAACGCATCATGAAAATGTTTAAGAAAAAAACAGACATATCAAAGTTCCAAACATCTCTTATCAAGAGCATCACTCATTATTCATCATAAGCCTGTCCATGATATTCCCCACCACGTCCTTCGATTCCTTGAGCAGCTTGAGGCTCTTGGTCAAGCGGTGGCGCTTCTCCGCCACGACCGGCGACTCCTCAAGCATCCTCTCTATCCCGCCGCCGTGGGGCGCCATCAGATCCGCCACCACTTCATCCTCCATGTCCTTG